TGCCCTGTAATAGATTATCATAATATTAACAGAATATTCCTAACTTGGTAGAAACCAACTCAATCTATTGATTGGTAGATAATCAATTAATTGGAACCAACTTTTACTATTGATTAGTAGATTGAATTAAATGTTTAATTGATTATTAACAAGAATAGCGTTTTTCTTAATTCATGAAATATTTTATTAATAGATACTTCAGTGTTAATAATTGTTACAGATGCCTTCTTAACAAATTGTTAATGATATCACATACCTCCACCTCTTTTTTATTTCAGATTTTTACTAATTAGTCATGACAACTTATTTTATGGTAACATTACATTAAAAATGAAAATACATGTATTTACCTTCACTTTAAAACTTACATAGGTAAAGGAGAAAAAATATGTTACAATCAACCATATGTTTATAAATAATAAATTGAGGAATTCAGTATAAATATGTTTTGAAAAGATTTGCAATTCAGAGAGATTTCACAGAGGTTTGTTTTGCAAATCAAGGAGGCACTATCAGGTGAATTCACTCAGACTCAGAATGTAATATTTAGAAGCTGATACATTAAATATGAGAACTGTGTGATAACTGTCTATTATTTGTGGAGAACTAGAGTTCATTTATTATTTAAAACTCTCAAAGTGCAGGAAAAAAGCTTGTAAATCACACAGCACAAGAATGCCCATGAATAAATCAGAGACTTATCTCTATCCTGGTGTTTTATAACTATGTAAATTACATAGGAGACCCAATATAGTCAGTATGTGGGAGGCAGAGATTTATATTATGAATGGATTTACTGACGATTCACAATACAGCTACAATTAATAGTGTTTGAGGGAGATTTTTCTGTTTCTGCTCTCTTCGGAGTCTTAGAATTCCTGACTCTAGGGAAGTTCTGGGGAACCTGTGACTCTCAGGTCCCTTGGAGACAGTAACATTGGGCTCCAAGGAATTCCAAAATTATTCAATTGATTATTTTGTTGACATTATGTGAAATTAAACGTTTTTCAAGTAAGCTCATTCCTAGAAAATCCGTTAATGAATGAAAAATAATCATGTTTGTCAGTTGTGGCCTTGATTTAGAATGATGAATGTAACAGGTTGCCCCATCGGCATTGCTGTGTTGTCATACCCAGTAGCACAGGGCTTTATGTTTTCAGGCTTTTGGTGCAACCATACTCAACTGTAATACTCAATTACAGTTGAGTATTTTCTAATTTAGACATACTGTATATGGATTTTTTTTCTCTAAAACTTCACTAAATCAGTTTTACAGTTATGTATTATAGATTATTAAATAAATAGACCACTTAGTTAACTGAGATTTTGGATGGAGCAAAAATCAGAAGACTGTAGGCCCTTTGGAAATTAAGACTGAGCCACATGATTCAAATTACTGTAGCTGTATAATTGTCCTTAGATCTGTAGAGAAGTGTCACTTTCTTCCACTTAATTAAATAATTAAACCAATTCAACAGGTGAGGCCTTGCACAGATGGAAAACTGAAAAACCTTGTAACCCTCCTGTAATTTACGTTTGACATTTGTGACCTAAAAGGCTCTCTTGCTGAATCATTCTTGCTGAATCATTAACAAACCAAAGTGTATTAATGTAAGTATGATATCCATGGAAAGTAAGAACCAGTGCAGAAGTACAAAAAGCAAATTTTTTGCAGAAAATAGTTTGGACAAATTCATCAATTAATAACTGTCTGTGCTGGGTATGCATTTCATCGTCTGTGCCCTCTGTACCATTTCTGAAATAGCACTCCGCGTGCTGCATAATTATGAACGTTCTTTTAAGGTTATTTGAAATTGTAATGAGAAACACATTTCATGAAGCTGCCCTTCCAGCATTCCCGCAGCTTGAAGTTTGCAGAACTTGAGACTGAATATATTATACTTCCATGGAATGTGCTACCACCTCTAGGGCAGTAGACCTACTGTACCTCATGATAAATGAACAAAAAAATTATCATATATGCATCCAGCCCAAAAATAAAATAAAATCAAAACTATTTGTTCTACTTCACCATAGTTTATATGAATTTGAAATTTACATGGTTATGTTAGTTTGTTATTCGTGCATCCAGGAGTATCGTACTACTCCTTAAATTGAAGAGTACTGTAAAGGGACTCCAGTTACAGTCTTGTTTTTCAATCATCTACTAATAAGTCTCTCAGGAAAACAGACTACAGAAGACACAAATAATCTGACTTTATCCATGTGACTGTAGGCTCAGCTCTCGCTCTGTATTGCACACATTCCCACACATCTTACACTCCTTTCAATTGAAGAATTTAGTGCAGGTGATACTCAGTGCACAGTGATTTGTTTTAGACCTTCTCTCAGACTCAGGTACTGAATTACAGTTACATTTTCAGCCATAGATTTATTGTAGAATATGTTTAGAATGGTGTGCAACAAAAGAAACCTGTGACCTTGAAAGGAAAAACTGGAAATTAACTTAAATTTAATTTAAAAAAATCAGAAAAATGTTTTTAATACAGGATGTACAATACACATTCACAGACATACTGAAATATAGGAAACAAATGTCTGTGTCTAATCTTAACTGACTCATCTTGCCTGTAGGACTTTCTTTCCAGCAGGACTACTCTGTGCTTTAAAGGTTATCTAATATATCATTTACTGCCCTGGACAAATGGGATTTTTTAATGGATGAAAATTGGGGAAAGTAATGTTATGTCTACTTGAAAATGTCATTTTCCTTCTCAAAGGTAATGAATAAACCTGGTCGCATTTTCCTGTAAGAAATTACGTATCCACATCAAACATCTTTTTTTGTGATGTACTGGACACACAAGTAATTTAAGTATACAGGAAATGTAATTGTAGGACTTGTAAGAATAAGGGGTGAAGAGTTCAGCCCGGAGTCGCACAGCAGGCTGTAAAGCAGACGACTTGGAGCTGAGTGCCGTTTTGGTTGGTAGCTCATTATTTCTTCTTTAAAATATAAAGGCTGTTTATTTAATCACGACAAGGACCTGGCTCTCTCAAAATGTTTCTACAGCATGTCACTGAGGTTATTAACTGGCCACGCACAGTAGGGAGCTTGATTTTCACACATCAGTGAAGTATAGATCACAGGACATGGCCAAAAAAAAACCCACCAGATGTGGCATGATAATTTGACACCCAACTAAAGGCTGATTAGTTTGCAACACTAGTTTACAATACTGTAGGTATGTGAATATATGTAAATCCTTTAATATACAGTAGAAGGAATGAAAGTACTATACAATATGTATCTCAATACTTTCTAACCCTGCAATAAGTCAGCTTGGTTTTTGATAAACTAACTCTGCAATATTTTTGTGTGTACAGTGCATCAGAGAAGTGTGTTTTCTTTTCATGTTTACAAAATGTCAACAGTAAGAGCATTTTACATTCCGAAAGTGGATCACGTTCAACTTCAAGTAGCTCTATTCTTATTGTGCTCTCAAAAGTTGCTACTGTACATGTTGCTCTCAAAAGTTGATATATAGTATAATGTGTGTGCAAAACCTTTATCCCATGGGATTTATAGGGCAACTTCTGCAACAACCTTTTGTCAGTCAGTATACCCTCAGGAAGATATTACATTTCTTGTGATAAATCTTGATGTGTAAGCTAAACGTACAATGGATGATTCATGTTATATTGTATTGCAATCTTACTGCAGTCAAAGGAGATTTAGGCATTTTATAATTGCAGATGTTCCCATGTAACAAGTGAATTATGTTGCACATTTATTTTTGACAGCTATGAACTAAATACATTAAGCAGACAAAGGAAATGTGCAACAGATATAACATCATGTTGACTGGGTTTGCTTTTCATGGCTTGCCTGATTTATTCAAAAGATCACTGGATGGTTAAAAGTCAAAATCATTTGCAGAGGAATATCTTTGTCTACTCTCACCCATGCTGCTCAGAGATTAATTGACAGTGAGGATCCCTTTGAAGATATTTTTGCATAAAGGTGTTGACAGCAAGGCTGTCCACACCAGGTGGAAGAAGATGCTCTTCCTGTGGGAATAGTGTGTAAAACATCAGTCCCTGTTGTTGCTAGAGATTTCCTTTTCAAAAGGTAAGATTATTGTAAGATTATTCACTGTATATCTTACAAATTAAATAATCTTAAATTTTTTGTGTTTTAGCCAAATACTGTACAGTTTAATGGAGCTATATTGTTTGAGATTTATAAAAGCTTCAGTAAAGCTCTAACCTTCAGTTTCAGTTAAGCTCTGAGGTAAAAATAAGAAAATATCAGAAAACAGTTAAGTATTTCGTAAATGACTGTCCCTCAATCATTGAATCCTAGACTGGAAATACACTAAATATCATGAGTTTTTCTTCCAGCACATCTCTATACTTTTCCATTTACTTATACTTTAGCAAGTTCAGTCCAAATTTATAACTGAATGACAGAGACAGATGCAAAGCGGGCTATAGTGCAAGACTCAACTGAGCATTGATCATCACACAAATGTTAAAAATGTCCAACATCATTCAATAGGCTAGAAGATTTCATCAAGAATAATGGAGATCACACTGGGTACATAAAGCGATTATTCTTGCGATCCAGCAAAGATAGTTCTAATACTGTGAAAACACCCACTGACAGCTACTGGCCTGAAGAAATGGCAAACGCCCCAGTCGTCCTGTGAGAAATAGATGAACAAGTGAATGCTGCTTTAATGTACCTATTCTAATGTGCAGGATGTCAACCCAGACCAGATGCTTCATATTTCACAGTGGAGCAAAACCTGCTTCTTAAAGCACTTTGACATTCATTTATCTTCATATGAGCATTTCCAGAATAAAAAATAGGTTGCTTTACAAAAACAGAATTGAGCTTCTATGAGCTTAGTGCTGCTAATGCTGTAGGTCAGAGTGATAAAGAAAAGTTTAAGCAAATTTTAACAAGCATACTGTTTGCATTATTTGGATATTGAGCTAGATGTACTGAAATACAAATAATTTTGAATAGCATATTTGTTTCAAACAAACCACAATCATGTGTAGCTTTATTGAAGCATAACAATACTACACATACTTTCACTATGAGCAGAGCACAATGTTAACATACAGTGTTTCACAAAAGGCCTTTATATCACCAACATTCATGGGCAATTACCGTTCTCTACCTACTTGTTTTGCCAGTAATGTAATTGTTGTTTTTATAGGGTATTCTTTATCTCGTTTGCTAAAATAATAAAATCAAAATATTTTCCTATATGCATTTCTTTTTCAAAAGTACTCTGTCAGTACAGTACATGAACAAGGTTGCATTTCCATTTTATATATACATTTATAAATAACAATACACAGTTCAAAAGTTCATTTACAGCCTTTCATGCTTTTCCCATAGAAAATCTGATCACAAAAGCATGCCACAGTATATGATTGTATTAATTTTTAATGAAGAAAATTAAACATCTGTAAATTCAATAAAGAATGCTCAATTCCGTTGGAGCCAGTCTCCTGAAGTAATGTATTTAAACAATGCTTACTAAATCCATTCTTTCTTATTACACAGGCAGTGCCTGCATAAAATGTAAACTGAGATTTGTGTTTTAGTCAACTTAGCAACAATTCTCATTTCTAACAAAACTCATTGCTATGGTCAAACAGCTTAGCACCTACAGATTTTTGCACACTATCATACAAACAAAATGAAGGTCATGCTCATTAGATATGATTATTGCACCATAACCACTAGTATTGGCTGTGAAAGTCTCTAAATCACAAATAGCTCTATCTAAATATTCTTGCACCGGGTCGATACAGCAAGAAAGCCATTACATTTTCAGAAAAGTATGGTTATGAACTTTTTAAGAGATGAAGAACGAGGCAGGAACTGGTCTGAAAATCCAAAATGCTTATGACAAGAATGGGATATGGAGAACATTACTACCCCCAGTTCTCAAAATTAAGGATGAGAAAAGGTGTTTCACGCAAATATATGAAGAGCTGCCTCTTTTCCGTGGCTTACCTCTAACGTGCAGTTACTAAGGATGGAACGTGAAGGTGGAGAAACGACATTTAGAAACGATATTTAGAAAAACTATTCCTTTTTTGTAGGAAGTGTTCAAGGACAACAAACATCCCTCTATTATTGTGTCTGTTCACTTACTGTAAATGCAATGTTCATTCTGGAAGATGGCTGAAGTGCAGAATTCCATGATATCAAAGTGGTTATGAAACTGAATTTCTAGACTGTTTTAGTTGTGCCAGACCTTTATAGAAGGAAAAATGCATTAATTGCCAGTTTCTGAGTTTCTCCCATTTTAGTTAAATGATTTGTTTATGATTAAATCTCCTGCTTTCTAGTCAGTGTTCACCAGCATTGACACTAAGAACCAACAGTTCTTATATGTAACCATCCGATCCACAAAGGATTAGAGTTTTTGTGACCTTTTATTATCCCTATATTGTGTTTTATATTATGACTGAGCAAAAGACATCTGAAGAAATAGACCAAGCCTGTATTTGTCAGCCAGTTGCTATGGACAACAAGAATCTTTCCAAAGGAGAATGGGAATATGTTGTGTCTTATTTTCCACTCTCTCAGAGATGAGAAGTAAGAATATGCCTTATACTGAAAACACAACAGAATTAGTTTTGGTAGCTGTAATAGAGATGGATGATTATTGATGATAGTAAACCTATACGCTACATTACAAAAATATATGCATGCAGTATTTCTTTTGTAATTGCATGTAAAGGGAATGTTATTTTTTTTTCAGTCATAAAAAAATCCTAGACTTTTTTAAAATGACTGAGTAAAACAAAAAAAATGATCTTTCTGTTTCTTTCATCAAACAATGCACGAACCCACCTTTATTGTACTTACTTTAATCTTCTCTTGTGCAAGTCAGTTTGAAATGATAAAAAATACATAATTTCTCTGAAATACTGCAGTTAAAATTTCAAATAAATAATCATTTCTTTCCTTCAACCTCACTATGTTGAGATCACAGGACCACAGAAACAGCTCTCCACCATTACATTAAACAAAATTCCTCTCACTTAAAATCACACTGTAAGATCCAAAAAAACATTCATGGAGGCACACAAATGAAATTACCTTTTTATGCTTGCAGTCTGTCTAAAGTCACACAGATGTGTTTATTTAAAATTTGCATAGCTTAATAGCAAGTACTCATTTTGAAATTAATATACAGAGACAGGTAAGTCAAGCATTGGTTTGATTTTGTCTTTGATTTTCTTTCTTTTCATTTTATTTTGGATATTTAATCTCATGTCATACTTGCTATTAAAAAAATGTTTTGGCTATGAATAATACATTTTAATGTGCGTGATTATGGGGTTAAGGCAGTGACAGGCAACCATGGGCAAATCATTAAATGGTTACAAATAAACACATAGATGCCATGCATCACAAAATGAAGAAAGTTGAATGTGTTTTGCATTATCTGGCAGCAGTCATTCCCCAGAGAGTCTTTGACATCTTAACTCCAATATTCTGCTTCCCTTATATCGTCTTGCACAAGGTGTGAGAGGAATTGTAAAGTTCCTGCTACTCTTGTTAGCAGTTTCCAGGTAAAGTCTGTTTCCCGCTGTCACCCCATTAGTGTAGTAAATGAAAATGTGCATGAACAGACATTTTCAGCAGTGGATCAGTTTTCATGATGCCAGCGTATACTGCAAGAATATTGAACATGGCTTTATGATGTACTCTAAAGGAGTGTTTTCTGTTTATGCAACTGGTGCACCTGTCACATATTAAAATACATTAGCATGTTTTTTGGGGTTATTGCAGTTGTAAATTACCATGATCAAGTTGGTGTGGTTTTGGGATTATTAATCAGTCTGTTACCCGATGTGACTTTCGGAAAGTGATATGTTCTGTTCTTCTTTTATGTTGGGATCTCCTCCTTGTGGATGTGGCCTTTTAACCACAGAGAAATGGTTATAATCAGGTCAGGTCAGCACAATGAAAAGAAAACAAACGAGAGAAAAAAACTTGCTATGACATTAATGTTAATGTAAGATCAGTATGCATCATTTTGGAAATTGAAGTAATCCTTAATACTACCAAGAAACCTTAGATATGATACAATTATGCAAAACTGTACTTTTTCCTGGAAATCTACTATAGATTGAATGCTACAAGTTAAAAATGAGTGTCCTGTTCATTGGAATGTTTAAGTGCTAGAAGTCCATTGGGCTGCTGCGATAGTCATACTGGCCCCTCAGTCAGCCCCTCCAAAGGGAGGCTTGTTGCATTGTCGGTAGATGGAGCCTCTTCCTCTGGAGCATCGTTGGGCGAAGCCACAAGGCTGGCATAAGGCAGGTGGCACTCCATATGAAGGAAGGGCGGGTAGTGCTGCCGGTAGCAGATATAGGCAAAGAGCAGGCCAATCACCCCGCCCACAAAGGCATCTGCAAAACAACACTGCACTGTCACTAACACTACTTTAAAACAGCCCGATTTAATCTTTAGAGTAACACTAGGTGACCATTGCCTGCTATGACATCATCTGAACAACAACACCATTTCTGAGCACCATTTCATCACTGTGCTTGATAGTGTGCAAGAACATAGCTGTAAAATCAAATGTAAAAGACTGCACAGAAGTCAAGATCAATGTTAACCTTCATTGTTTTTATATCAACATTGGTTTTCTGTTGTCCATACTTGAGTATACACTGTACGTAAACAGTCACAAATCACGATGAACCATGACCTTGAAAGATCAAAATATTAAGTATTATAACATAAATTCAAACTGCTCCTCATTGTTTTGTTTTAGTCTCAATTTGTAGGCTTATTAATATTTAATCTTACTCTTACAAAAATAAAGGCCAGTTTCATGAAGTGTTTCTGTGTTTTACTTGAGCAATAACAGCTGTATCACACTTCCTCAGGGAAGAAACAAGTTGTACCTTTTCTTGCTTAATTATGAATTAAACTAGCACTGTTGTTGCTGCTAGCTCCTTAGGCACTAAGAAGCAACAGTTCTTATGTGTGAGCACTGGGAATCTGAAACATTCATCTTTTTTGCTACAATAACCAACTGCCTCAAAGGACTTCACATCAGATATATGCACACACCAGTTCAGTGTCACTCACATTATTTATTCTTAAATGCTTTAGAGGACGTTTTATTCAGATACAGCTACACAATCTCAGGGTGTAAGTACTCTGTCAAAAACACTCTGATTCGCTTATTCTAATTACTATAGCCCAGCTGTACAGTAACTATGCAGGTCACTGGAGCATGGCTAGAGAAATAATTTGCACAGAAGAGCAGACAAGCAGCCATGCAGTAACTGTCGAGGCTGTCCCCAGCCCTACTTGTCCAACAAACCTCCGCATCTCTCTTAACACGCCAGCAGAGGAACTAGTTGTTTTATAAAGCTGCTCTTATTGTTACAATCACGGATACAATTACTGTTGATGAAAAGTAAGACAAATATAAATATGTCCCCATGATGTTAATTTTGATCAGATTTAATGGACAATGTTTGTTATATTTGATAATGAATCTACAGGCTAAATAAAAGCACATAACAGATTAAGTAGTTTTGTCTTTCTCATACTGTTCAAAACTGGTCAATTGTAGAGTAAACTAGTCATTAAAATAGTCAAGTTACAGTACATTCTACTCTCCAATAGAGAGAATATTCTGGAGTGTTCTGGACATAACTAATCAGGTCCGAATGACTTTTGGTTCTAGTGTTAAACTCAGGACATTATATTACCTAGAGGATTATAGGCTATGGCTTCTCTCAGTGTAATGCCAATGGGAAGAAAAATAAGTATTTTTAACTTTTGTAAATATATGTAATACATTGTAATTATTTATTGTATATTTTAAATTAATTTTAACTAATTATAACTGGTGTTGTTTTTATGAGAGCTGTCAGAATGACTTTATCCCTGCAGGAATGTGTCCCTTTACAACTACAACTTTGTGTTGAGGTAAATTTGCAATTAAAATCTTTGTTTATTCCCATATGGATATTGTATCGTATATCAAGTTTACATATATATTGAAATTTTGAGAATTGTGCAGAGAGCTTAATGAAATGCATTCAGAATATGATATCATACATTTTATATTGTTAATTTATGTATATTTTTATTTGAATGAATAGGGGCTCTTAGAATGACCATTTAACCATTCACACAGCTGTATATAAAAAAGTCACTAACTTTGACAACTACAGTGTGCATCTGCACCCCAAAAAGCAATCTGAGCTTGCATGCCAGGTATTGACCTAGTCCTGCTAGTCAATCCCTCTGGTGCCTGCTAGTATTGCCCAGTGTCTAGAAAATATGTTCTGCATGGTCTCATTTATACTGTATTTGTGCCATGTTTGATTACACTCTGCTTGATACTGTAGCCTCCAACGCACAGCTGTTTGAAAAAGGAAAGCAGCCTTAGAGGGAATTATTCTAAATAATAACACTATACAAATGTATGTAACAATAATATAGAGAGGCTACTGTAGTTTATTGTTTGCTTTTTCAAGAAAACATAGACATGGCACTTTTCATTATCAATTTATACCTCATAATGTCTTAGGACTGTATAGGATATGAAAGAATTGAAAACTGAGAACTGACTCTCTCATTGCTTATTAATGAGCTACTAGAACAGCCAGGCTCGTATGCCTCTTATGCCTCATTGCCCTCCATCATTAATCTGTAAAATTATGTTGCAAAAGCTGTGAAGCTTCTCTTTTCAGTTGGTCTGTTGGGGGCAGCCTGGACTTTTTCTCTCATCTCTGTTCATACAGACACTTTCCCGCTTTTTTATTTTTTCTCTTCATTCACTTAGAAATGTATGCATTCTTTTTTTGCAGCAAAAAATCAACATTCCTTATTAATCTGTCTGACTACAATCAAAAAAATTATATGGCACTTCCACCATCTCAGATCTACAGAAACACATCTATACAGATCAAACAATGATTTACTTTCATTAACACCCTGCCTGTAAGAGGCACAGCAAATCTTGTACTCTATCCAAGTCCTGGGTGACCCCTTTGTCTGCTCATTTTCATTGCAGCTCAGCAATTTAATTAGTACCCAATCTGTTAGCTATTACACTATTGGGTTGCTTAGACTTTTATCTGCAGTCAGGCCTTGGTTTCAAAAATACCCTGGCTAAAGAATATTATTTCTAACTTAAGTATAAAGAAATTTTTTCAAACTCTCCTCAACATGCTAGTTAAGACTTTACTCTCTCATTAAAGTGTTTAATTAAAAAGCTTTTAGCAGACGATCACTGCATGATGAACAGACTGGGGTTCCCAGTCCTGGTTCTGGGCACTCACACACCTGCAGGTTTTCACTACAGCTGAGCTCTTTTCTGAAGTGAATCCTTAATTTAGCCAATATATTGCTCAGTTGGAATCTTTACAAGCTGTTTTTTTTCTACTCAAAAAGTGGAGTTACTTATGAAACACACTAGAAGACAAACTCCAACTTGATAAGGAACTGGAAAAAAATTAAGCTTATTATTAGGTCTATAAAGGGTTCAATGATTAAAAAGGAAGCTTAGTTGGAACAGAAACCAGGTGGGCAAGTCCCTGGGACCAGAATTGGGAAACCCTGATGACAACCCTACAGGAAGGGAGTGGTTGTGCAGATACCAACTACAATTTTAGCTAATGCAGCTGAAGGGAGGCAGTTCTGAGACTCATTAATTTGTTAATTAGTTCTGACACCAATTACAAACCTCATGAAAACTACTGGGCAATCGGATTTTGATCATATCCAGTGATTGATGGTTGTATTCATACTAAGCTTTCTTCTACACTTCCATATCTGCATGCTCATCTCAAATTTCCAAGGGTAACTCACCCCTGAAGTAAACACACAACTTAGTACAACCCCGTCTCTTTCCAAACTCTTCCCCTGGAAATCAATTGACTTTAAATGCCTGCAGGATAATTGCAAATGCATTAATAAGCAGTCTCCAAGTTTGAAGTTATAAAAGGTGATAGGACTTTTTTTTTCTTTATCTTTTTCTTATATCTTCAAATTGTTTCATACATTTTTTTAAAGTCATTTTTTTGTGAGAGCTTGAGAAAAGGACATGCTTGCTTTTCCTAAAAAAAAGGGGGGAATCACAGCACATGACCTTGATATGAAAATCCATCCAGAGGTCAAGCAAACACTGGCAAAAAAATGTCTCCATTAAACCTACAGTCTGTACTGCAAGTATGTTTACAGACCTGTACACAATATTTGTTGCTTGTTTTTTATTGAGAATGTATTCAAATGACTGTGTAATTACTGTCTATGGATAAAGTCTGCGCTAGAGATCACAAGGTTGCACTTCACTACTCCATTAGGTTCTTTCAGCAAGAGCCAAGTGTATTTCATCTGAAGTGATAAGGGCATATTTCCATTTATGCATTATTTTAAAATCGCCCATATTTTAAAAAGGAAAATAGCCAAAGTGTATCATTTAAGGTTCCTGAGTTAATAAGTAAAGGGTTTTGTTATTATGCTGCTAGGTGTGTAGGAATCTTTAAAAACATCAAAATCAGAGGTACAATTGTTACCAGATAAACCCTTACAGTATGTTTCACAACACTAGTCACTGTATATAAGAAAGGGGTACTTTCATAAATACTGTACATAATATTATCATAGTTATATTTTTAAATACTATTAAATAATAGGCCTACAAAAATAAATACATTTTATTTTTACCAAGCCACAGTTTTCCATTCCATTATGTCCTTTGTCCTTTATTTCTTCTAATCTGTCAATTTGTCATTTGGGAAATGTTATAGAGTTCTATGTTCTGTTCTACAGCTATTTTAAATCCTGTGTTCTAAACAATGTTCTCTGATAATTCTGCTGACATCTGAACACATTATTGTACTGTGCTAAGGCCTCATGTTTGTGTCTGCATCAACTTTCAATTTTGCAATATGATTAAACACATCCACTGACATAAAAGCAAATAAAGAGAGATGATGCAAAACGAGCAATGATTGCATTGCTTCTTGAAGCCTGGAAAAAAGATATCTTGTATTTGTTCTGAGTGAGAAATCAAATGCTCTGCTCATCAGGGTTTAGTGAGAATCTGTCCCACAACGAAAAAACAAATGTTTCAAATCTTTACAGTTTACACTAATTGTGCAAATGTATTTCTTGATGATCTTTGCTCCAGGATCTTCAAATATCTGCTTACAAGGTGTTATCTTAAATGGACAGTGAAAAAGCTGATTAGGCTTTTCAGAGCAGACAAATACAGCACCAGAAAGTCAAAACCTGACACAATGGTCTCTGTTTGTGTAATTGTTTCATGGCTGGGATAGCTTCACGCTGACTGCAGCAAACAATTTAAAAAGGAAAATAAAGGTCTCTACTCTCTCCATCATAATGCTGATTTTATCCCTCCTGTTCTGCAGCATGGCTTTTAAGCCTATAACTCACAATGTACAGTGGCTCTCAAAAACACCCCTCTTGGAAGTTGTCACATTTTATTGTGTCACAATATGGAATCCTGATGTATTTAACTGGGATTTACTGCCATTGATCAACAGAGAATACTCTATAATGTCAAGGTAAAAACAATTCTATTATACCAACAGAGTATAAGATATTCACAATACTGTATATTCTGTATTGACTATATAAAGAAAAGGAGAATGGGAATAAATGTAATGAATAAAGACCTTGCCAGTGGTGTTTGTAGTCACAGGTGCGGGACAGGGCGATCATCATGGCACTATACAGGGGCAGGATGGCAGCACAGAGCCTCCAGCTTCGGCCACGCCCACAGTCAGTGAAGCACTGCAGTTTCCCCACCAAGTAGAAGGAAGTGAAGCCCAGGCCAGAGAATGCAACTGGAAATAGAGGAAGTTCTTAGAGCAGGGTGGTACAGCACCAGAGCCACAGAGAGAATCAGGTTATGTATTGAGATGTTAACAAGTCAGCTGGAAACACTTTAAATTAAGGATTGCAGATCCTATTTGCAAAGCCTTTATCACCTTGAAAATAACACACCTCTTCTCTCATACTGTAAAATGTTACAAATAGAGAAGTATCTGCTCATAATTTTCCTTTAGATATTTAAAGTAACATTGGAATATTTAAGGGTAATATACAGTAGTTCAATGTACAGTACCATTAACCAAATATACAGTATAGTAAATAAGCCACTATAATGAACTCTAATATTAATACCTCCGTTTTCCAGTACACATTTTTAATGTTTCTCATTAGAAGTTTAGCAATAATAGGATAATTCTAAGTATTTATAAAGGCTTTTGCAATAAATTAAATTAGGTACCACCGATATCCAGATTCAGTGAGATTCCATATACAATAGAGTTCTACATGTCTCCTCAGATATACAGTATAGAGATCCTTCTGCTGAAATAATTAACTCTTTCTCTGGGGATCTGCCAGCCCATGTTTTATCATTGTCTGCATTCCTCACATTAACTTCATATTCTCCAGGCTGAGACAGAATATTCTTTATGCATAATACAATACAAACACAATTCTTCTTTGTGTCCTGTTAAATATTTCATGTTTTGCCCTGAAAGCCAAAAAAAGTCTGTGCTTTAGGCTTTGCTTTTGAGATTGTCATCAGATGTTTTACATTTGTAAGGATAGGATTAAATGAAGCACTTTTTCCTCCTGTGTCAGAGATTTGTTGTGTTTAGAAAATTGATTTTTAAACTCTTCAGCCATCATCATACCAAGACAGGGAAGCATCAGAAGACTCCTTTTATTTTTTAAAAAGTGAATTTGTCTGTAACAGGCTATCCACTGCCCCAGCGTTAAAGGTAGTCTTTCCTTAGAGCAGCCAGGAAAGTCCCCTTCATGGAGCCTCAGCATAGCCTCTTACCCCCAGTCAACAAACCAGAGCAACATCTCTGGTAATCTGCAGTCTAATAATCATTTGATCTACATTAAATATGAAAGAAGACATTTCTGTATACACACTCCCATTTTATGTATGCAAATACATTCACATACTGTACGTATATCAACAATCATGCTTAATGTACTGTACCTAGCCACATAATTAACATTTCACTGTTTATTATCACTTCTTAAGGGGAATCCCAAATACAGACAACATTGCAATCCATTAGATCTGATGGCAGGTAGTGAATTAACCATATTTGTTTGTTTTAATCTCCACCACTACTGAAATAGTATAATTAAGTCATAATGATAATGACCTATAGTGTTATTATGTAATAATGAATTTGGTATGAATTCGACAACATACATTCAATAACCTTCCACATATTACTTTATAATTATATAATTAATGTATTACTTCAGATTTTTATCTAATTTCCCTTCCTTCGCTTCCAACACATGGTGTCATTTGGAAACTAAACATCCCCACCACCCTAGAAACCTTTTATAATACAGTACACAGACAAATCTGCCTCCTGACCATCACAGTGAGGTTTCTTCAGCACACTGGATTACAATAATGTTTGGTATTTGAATACAGAAATTCCTGTGCACTGTACTTCATTCTTCATAACATGAGGCTTTGCAAGCATTGTATCATAATGTAGCACTTACTGTGCCAGGTGCCATAGGGAACAGTCACAGCCAGAAGCCTGATCCCCTCACAGTGTTAGTTTTTGGCTATAAATGGAAGCAATAATTGCTTAATGTGCATACATAATAAAACATGTGGAGAGCAGTTGTTAGGGCTCTGGACTCCAGACTAGAGGGCTGTATAGTTAAAGTCCCGTGGGACAATGCTGTTGAACCCCTGAGCAAGATACTGTACTTCACTCAGATCCATTTAAGCCCTGCTATATACTGTATACCTGTATATAATGGCTCTCTATAAAGGTCATCACTGCAAAACAAGAATTTCTTCTCAATTAACGTACTGGGTAAAATAAAAGAAATAAAAAATAACAAGATTCCACCAGACTAACGTTGCTTGACAAGACTGAGTAATTTGTTGTAACTAATGAGCAAATCTTTGCAAAAGCAGTCAATATTTCATCATGTTTTCCACAGGCACCAAACTGCACATCAGGTGTAGCACTGTGATTTAATGAAAATGGGTGCTCAGACATGTCAGCTAAGCAGCCATACTGACAATGCTTTTGAAGAATAATATGACTCTTTAGAGGACTAAAACTTTATTCAAAGATAGCTGTAGCACCGTGAATCACTGCACCAAGCTGCATTTTAATTGTAAATTAAATCCCGATGACAAAACTGTTAGTGGCAGCAACAAGACAAGGTCATTTGTTTACTGACACTGTGGAGTCACACAGATTAACTGACAATTTGTAATGAGCAATACCACAGACACGCTGAGATCAGGCAGAGTCAGCTCCAGGGGAGCTCAGATCAGGAAGATATGAAAAATGTTGAGCGTACCTAATTTTTAAGGCACGGAAAGAGAAATTAATAAAGTTTTAATGTTTTGCTACTTCTCAAAGCATGTTGCACTTGATTGATCACGCACAAAATGCAGGAGATTGCAAGGACAGACCGGAACTGATAAGATATTCTAGATTCAGATCGGCAATTTCTCATCTTTCAACCTGCCTTCAAGACAGATACCTTGACAGGATAAAGCCCCAGCAAGCCCTATAGCTGCTTTCATAAACAAATTGTCTTTCAAGCAAATTCATACTGTAGGTTGCTGCCCAGTGTCCAGATACAGTATACAGCATCTCCAACATCAAATATTTTTGTTTTGTTAGGAAATTATAAAATACATGGTAGGTTTATGGTATGTAGCTGTTAGATATGAATGTCATTCAGACATTAAGAACTGAAAATGTAAAATGTACAAGAACTGTTGTATAATGCTAGGTATTAAGTCAAATGTTTTGCAGTTAAATTTCAGATAAGTTTCAGATTTAGATTACCTGTTTTTAAGTGTTATATTTAATACAATTAACTGTTTCTTCTATACATTGAAAGATTTTCTTTGACTTGGTTAATGGAAACAGAAGGTGTATGTGATCTGTTGTCCTGGTAACACCACATCCTTTTGATTTTGTTGTCCTGGCAACACCACATACTTTTGATGTACATTCTCCCACTGCTTACAAAAGTGTCCTCTGTATTCCTACAAGAGATTAATAAATTACCTTATAATCACTGGGCTCACTTATACTGAAACTCTGCCTGTCATGTAACAAGAACTACAGGGAAATTGAACTGATTTAAATAAAGTTCAGTGCTAGTTTCTTAATCCATTAAGCAGAGACTTAATTCCGAAATGTAGTACTTTCCTCTTAAATCCTTCAGACTCACTGAAACACTTACATGAGACCGAAAACGGCAAAAACCTCAGTTTTGTTAAGAACAGTGTTTTAAAAAAAGAAAGCATCATGATTATGGCTCCTCATGCATATTTATAGCATGTTGAAATAATTGTTCCCAAGTATAAATAGTCAAATAAATTAGATTCCAAGTCATTAAAGGGAGTTGATGCTAATCTGATTTCGTGATGCTTTCAAGGTTCTATTAAAAGTTTCAAAGGGGATATAGTTTTCTGTCAAGTTAGCTGAATTCTTATTGCTACAGATTTTATAGTAGGCTTACAAAGTGTGGGTTAAGGTACAATACAAAAAAGAAAAGCTGGCATATGTGCAATGAAAGAATGTGTAAAACAGAACATTGCTTTTAAATGTATGTAGCCTCCTCACCGTGGTGAGCAAAATGTTTAAAGGTAAGGTATTTGCAGCTATGGATATTTATATAAATAAACAAATATCCATAGCTACAGTTTAGGAAATAGTTTTATGAATTTGTTTATTCATAGTAGCATAGCAGGTGTAAAGCGGACAAAAAGATAAATTCTTCCCGACATTTGTACAAGTACTCTTGAGCTGCTATTAACAATCACAGTGCTACAGTATATTTATATATAAAAAGCCAAATTGTTTTTTTAATACTCATACAAAACGCACAGCAAAAAGGAAATGAGGTGTGCTTGAGCCATTACTGTATTTTGCGTTCCATATGCAAAACCTTGTAAATTGTCTTGCTGTATCCACCACAGCTGGTCTCTCATCATAACCATAACACAAAATGTATCAGAAGCAGGAAGGATGACTGTTATTGACTGCCTGTAATAAATATCTTTCTGTTAGGTGCAAACACTAGCTGTAATTAAAATGTCATGCCTGTGCTATAACAGTTATCACAGCAAATAAACCTCATGAAGATTGATAGCAGCCTCTGTCCTAGGAATGTGGAGTGTTAACATTAGTCAGCACTTGTTGTATATACAGTAAACATTACAATGAATAGTGAAATTAGGTCTTTTCACACAAAAGCCTTTTTCGTCAAATTTGCAGTAATGTCAGTCGTCATGCAGACATCATAGTACCTGTTATATTTCAATTTTTCACAGGTTATTTTTTCTTAGAAAGATAGATGTTTTTCACCCTTCTTCTCATGGTATGATTCGTTTTTATGTTTTCGGCTATGTAACGAAAGCGTTCTTTCAGGACCCTATGCAGACGACACAATCCGGGGTAGAGTGAGGAAAACATGGGGGGAAAAGCATGCTGGAGTCGGGAATGAACACAGGGGGCGTGTCTCTGGTGCGCTGGTGTTCGGAGGAAGTGTGCCCGAGGCAAACAGTCCAGAATTGAGTCCAAGAGGGAATACGAGACAAGGCAAAAGTCCAAAGCCGGGGCGGTCCAGCCAAGACAAACGGGATTAAAAACAGAAACCGGGTTGGGACCGGCACGGGACCAGGTGCTTCCAGGTGCCTGGTACGGAAACCAATGCAGAGCCAGGAACAGAGTGAGCGTCTGGCTTTTAAGGTGAACCAAAAAGGGGGCTGGAACAGGGAGCAGGTGTGGGAGATGAGTAAAAAACAAGG